TAGTATATACATTTTTGATATAGTATTAAAATTGGCTTGGAGAATTGTGAAATTTCACTGATATTGGTATTGACTATCAAAGTTTTAGTATAGTAACAACTCAATAATAAATTATGTAAATTGTATGGTAATTATGCATCCTGGTAGTTTTGTCATACTTCCTTTAATTTATTCTGAATTTAAAGAAAATGGACTGTATTGCATGTTTTTTTTTTTAAAGATACTCCCTGTTAGCAAAAAGTCTGTTAGCGCTGTTGATGTTTTGTTGCTTTGCTGTGTTTCCCAGTCAGTCACATGAGGCCCCTTAGAAAGATGAGCAAGAAGGCTGGAATCCCGGCACTGGACAGGCCTTTACATGAGCCAAACATTACATAAACCATCTGCAACCTCCATCCTCCTCTTCCTTTAGTACGCACATTATATCTGCAGCCCCCTATCATGCAATAGCTGTAAAGTATCACACAATTTTCTTTGAAAAGTTTTCATTTGTCTGTTTGATCGTGTGCATGCATGTGTTTTTGTTCACCGTAAAAAGTGTATTATGTAATGGCCCATGGGGTATTCTCATCAACACACTGAGAACACGCTGTATGATAAACACGCGAACCAAGCAAAGCATGATCGTGTTTATGTGTAATGATCAAAAACTGTTTCTGATAATACACACTACCGTTCAAACGTTTAGAGGCGTGCAAGATTTTTAAAATGTTTTTGAAAGAAGTCTCTTATGCTCATCAAGACTACATTTATTTGATAAAAAATACAGTAAAAACAATAAAATTGTGAAATATTATTATCATTTCAAATAAGTGTTTTCCATTTCAGTATATTTTAAAATTGTATTTATTCCTGTGATGCAAAGCTGAATTTTTAGCAGCCATTACACCAGTCTCCTCAGTGACAAATGATCATTCAAATCATTCTAATATGCTGATTTGATGCTCAAGAAGCATTTCTGATTATTGTCAATGTTTAAAACAGTTGTGCCGCTAAATTTTTTTGTAGAAACCGTAATACATTTTTTAATATTTTTTATACATCTTTGAAAAATAGAAGGCATTTATTTGAAAATTGAAATAGAAACCTTTGTTACATTATGTCTTTACTGTAATTTGTGGTTAATTTAATGCATCTTTGTTGAATAAAAGTATCAAAAACAGTATCTTACTGACACCAATTTTTTGAATGGTAGTGTATGTCATATAATATATACAAATTTTAAGCCAGATTTAATACAGTATATTATTAAATTACTGCTCTTTTGCAGTAATTTTTAAAAATCTTTGAGAGATTTTAAGTGAATTATTATATATATTTTTTTGGATTAAGTAAAATAAAAGTCAGTCACACTCTAGTTTGGGGACCAATTCTCAGTAATAACTAACTATTAACCACAACTTTTGCCACAATAAACTCCTAATTTGCTGCTTATTAATAGATATTTATATATATATATATATATTTGTTACGTTTAGTTATTGGGTAGGTTTAAGTGATCTAAAATATGGTCATGCAGAATAAGGCATTAATATGTGCTTTAAGTTCTAATAAACAGCCAGTATGCTAATAAGCAACTAGTTAATAGTAAGAATTGGTCCCTAAACTAAAGTGTTACCAAAAAGTTCATTCTCAAGTCTCTGTGATTATTCTGATTTCAAGATATAACTCTTAGAGTTTGACTGCTCAGATAAGTTACAACGCAAGCTAAATGATTTGAAGAATCATTCATGTCTGTAGCACAAATAATCGATATAATCAGCAATGATCTGTTGTCTGTGATGTTGTTTCATAACGGCCAAACTCACTGAACTTGTGATGGTTGTAAGTAATGGCCGCTGATGGTTTGTGTGTAATTGTCTCTGGGGTAATGGCTGGGGCGTGATGCACTCATGAAATCAGACACATTCCTGCGGTCTGAGGTTTGGGGAGCGAGAGAGACCCTCCACAGTAATCGCACTGCACTCAACACACTCTCAAACATGTCTGTCCTAACAACAACAATAACATTTATCTCAGTCTTTCCAGCGCTAATACGCACTGCTATCAGAGGGGCCCCGCGGCCCTCGGCTCTGGAGGAGAGCAGTGAAGTTTAGCACAGGCTTTTGACTGAAGCTTTGGCCGGCAGAACACTGATTTGTCATATGTTGTTTCTTGTCTGTGTTTGGTAAGAAAATGTCTTCTAGGAATATAAATATTGTCCATCACAGAACACCCTAACACCAGGTACATCCTGGAAATCACCTAGAACACCCAAAGGAATCGTCAGTGCTAGGATGCTTTGTGGGGTGTTGCTGTGGTGTTTAGCATGTTTGTGTTCAGTTGGTTTCAAAGTGGTTCCACCTTGGGAAAAATAGTTTCTGATAAATATTGTGATAGTGGTTTAGAGTGTGTGTGTTTTTAAGCTCCAGGTTTGCTGTGCTTGTTTGTTTGTTTGGGTTGCACATAGGGATGTAACGATTCACTCAACTCACGATTCGATTCAATTCACGATTTTGATTTCACGATTCGATTCGATTCACGGTTTTTTTTTTTTACAAAATGAGATTTAAGACAAATTATAAATTAAATGTGTCCTTTTATTATTGCTTGGACAAAATACTGTACGTTTCTTTGTGAAATTGAAATATAACACTATAATAACATATTATAATAACAATACTAATATAGCACTTGTAAATTATTGCTCTTTTGTTGGTTTTAATTGCTTCTATTGTCCTCATTTGTTAGTCGCTTTGGATAAAAGTGTTTGCTATGAACTTTAATATGTGTTATACAGAGGCAAGATGAAAAGAAAAAATACCATCGAAAGACAGTAAGTTCCCCTCAGACATACATTCATATAAACTCCTACCCCTAAATGAATCGCGATTTGTTTAGCATCTCAACCGATTTGAATCGTAACATATTTCAATCGATTTTCAACCGGCTCGCGGTTAATCGTTACATCCCTAGTTGCACAATTTGGCTAAAAATTGTGTGATTATATATATTAAAATGACTATAAAACAACAACAACAACATTTATTATTATTATTATTATTATATTATTCTTTATTTATTTTACAGTGAAATTGTTAAACAATAGTTTCATTTTTATTTAGTAGCAGTATAATAATAATAATAATAATAATACTTTATTATTACTATAACAACAACAACAACAACTATCGTTGGTAATAATAACAATAAATAATAACATTAACTAATACTACTAAATAAAATTGATCAATTATATTTAAGAAAAATATAACAATTAATATTAATAATTATTGTTGTTATTATTATTATTCTTGTTCTTGTTGTTCAAATAATAGTAACTGGGACAACAGCAACAACAGTACTAATTATTGTTGTTGTAATAGCCTAATACTAATTATTATTTCAATCACAATTACTATTATGAATACTACTACTAAATAAAAATATTAAACCATTATTCTGTTTCGATGTAAAAAAAAACAGAGCATTTAAAAAGAATGGGTCAAAATTTATTTAAAGGTCGAATTCTTGCTATTAACAAACCATTAACTATGACTTTTGCCTCAATGCTCTGGCATAGTTTGCATAGTTAGCATAGCAGTGATGCTAATATGACCTGTGGGTTCCCACAGGACTCAGAAAACCCAAAGGATTCTGCAGCATGAAAGCATCAGGGTGCCGATTTGTCTTACGTTTTTCAGTCGGTTCCCTTACAGAGTTTAAATATGTTTTATTCAACAGTAGAAATTATGTACCAGATAAAACACAAGCACACTTAAAATGCACAGAAAAAAAAAAATGTTATAACGCAAAACGTATAAAAAAATATATATACAGTACCATTCAAACATTTGGGGTTGGGAAGATTTTTAAATGTTTTTGAAAGAAGTCTCTTATTCTCACCAAGACTGCATTTATTTGATAAAAAATACAGTAAAAAGAGTAATATTGTGAAATAATATTACTATTTAGTATTTAAAATAACCATTTTCCATTTGAATATATTTTAAAATGTAATTTATTCCTGTGATGCAAAGCTGAATTTTCAGTCTTCAGTGTCACATGATCCTTCAGAAATCATTCTCATATGCTCAAGAAACATTATTATTATCATTTCAAAAAGTTTTTTTGTGTGTGGATTCTTTGATAAATGTATTTTTTTTAAATAGAAATCTTTTGTAACATTAGGGCTGCACGATAAATCGAAATGGAATCGAGATCGCGATTCGACAGAAGCTGCGATTGTCATGCGTATCTTTCAGTGAAGCACGGTTCTGTGATCAGCAGTAAATCTCCATCCAAAGGCCAGAGGGCGCTCTCGCGCTGAAACTCCAAATACGCCTCGCAGAAGAAACCCAGAAAATGCCTATGGCTGCAGCTGAATAAACAGAAGATTCAACTGCTTTCATTGATTCAACGTGACTAATAAACACACGACTACACCAATATACGGTTTATCTGAATTCTGGTGTAGTAAATGCTGCTCCATCTGAAAGCACGTGATGATGATTTACTGTTGATTACAGAACCGTCTTTTTTAACAAAATGCGCATGACAATCGCATTCGATTAATCGTGCAGCCCTATGTAACATTGTGTCTTTACTGTCACTTTTAACAAATTTAATGCATACATGCTGAATAAAATGATTCATTTCTTTAAAAAAGTCCCCAAACTTTTGAATAGTAGTGTATATCCCAAAAATTTTATTTATTTATTTTTTTACGTTTTTTGTTTAATGTTTACAGTGTGTGTTTATTTTTTATTGACAATATAAAAAGAGGACTTGATTGGGTGTTTTGACATGAATATGGAAATTAATTCAACCATTTCTCTGTTTCACATCTTTAAAATGTGTCTCCTGGTTTTTAGATTGATCTTGTTCTGAATCTGAACCTAGTTTTGGTCTACAGTAGGCTCTGATATTGTTCTGTTTTGATTCCTTTTCTGATCGTTACATGTTTATGTTGGCTGGAAATGAGTAGATGCTACAGTACAGCTATGTTTCTTTCTGTTCCTCAGAGATGTAGTCTGTAGTCTGGTCTGTCGGCAGACTCTGAGGTCTCACTATGCTGCTTTATCTGCTGCTGACCATCTCACTAACAAACGTCCATGGCCAGATAGACCCAGGTAAAGTTACATTACATGCAGTCCGACACAAACATATGCGTTCATACAGACAGCGGCAAAAACATTCACTTTCTCACCGTGTCCTCCTTCGACCTCCTCAGCTCACTGTCGTTATCCTCTCGGTATGGAGGACGGGAGGATCAAAAACGATGACATCACTGCCTCCAGCCAGTGGTACGAAACCACAGGCCCTCAGTATGCAAGGTAACATCAGGGTTATTTAAGTATCATATGATATATACTATTATAATTTTTGTTAATATTTTGAATTAGATTTTAT